CTTGATAGCTAGAATTCCTAAACTTTACACCCTTCCCTAGGAAATAATGAAAGATAAAGAAAAGAAATTATGGCAGGCAACTCGGCACCGACGGAAGTAGAGATCCGGAGCATTCAGTATAGCCAACAATAAAGAGTAATTTTCTACTGTATAAAATGCCATTCAAAGATTCAAAACAAATTTTTAAAGGAAATTTATTTTTATTAAGCTGAGAATTTTGTGTTCAAATGAGTTAAATTATTTTACTGATTAGAGCTAAGTGCGACCCTTTGGTCAAGGCAGACGTTTTTAAAAAGTTTATATCATTGACTTAAGATACTCCAATTATTTTTTTATAAAGGCATTGATTGACCGGGGGGATGTTTAATCTATGATATTACTAACGAACAATAACAGTAAAACACAAAGATAAATTGCTATTTTAAAAACAAATCAAATAAAATAATTAATTGATTTGATAACACACTCATTTCTATATTTGGTCAAATGAGTTTTGAAGTTGGTTTGTGACAAAAAAATTACAAAACAAACTACCTTTTTTAGCCGTGCAGATTAAACACTTCTACAGTGGCTCGGCAATTCTGTTAGAAAATCGGCATGCTATAAAATGTTGGTCCCAATTACAGGGCCGGCGAGAAGCATGGTGGAAGGGCGAGAACCATTTAGGGCCCCTAAATTGGGCTGAGCGATCCCGGGCGGATTTCCCTGATTTAATGTCCAGCCGCCTCCGTGCTGTTTTGTTACACATATAACAATACATAAACAGCCCTTCCCACCAGGCCACCGCCATTGGCTCGGGCCACTTATATGCCCTGTTCCACCGGGCCACGACCGGGTCGATTATAAGCAACCGGACCACCTGGGTCATGTCGCCAGCCCACTACCACCGGGCCACTTGTGGGCGCTGTCCCACCAGGCCACAGGTATTGGCCCGGACTACTTTCACAACCCTTACCTTCCGGGCCCCGCCATTGCCTGAGGTTCTCTTCGAAGACCCTCCCCCACAAGGCCACCACCATTGGCCCTGGATACTCCAACAGCCCTTCCCCACCAGGACTCCACCATTGCCCCGAGCTACTTCAACGACCCTTGCCCGCCGGGCCACCGTCATTGGCCCGAGCCTCATCGTAGACCCCTTCCCACCGGGTCGGGGTGTTTCACCCGGGCCGCCCGGACTTGGGTACGGTGCCCGGGCCATGTTGACCGCCCGTCACCGACGGGGCACTGGGGAACACTTCCACGCCGGGCCGGCACATTTGGCCCGGGCGATTTGGCACACCCGGGCCGTCTGGTCTTGGGTACAGTTGTACCGGGCCATATCACCAGCCCGTCGGCAACGGGCAACTTGTATAGCCCCGTCCCACCGGGCCTCAGGCATTAGCCCGGGCGTCTTGGGGAGCCCTCTTCCACGCAGGGCCGGCGCAATTGGCCCGAGCGATTTGGCACACCCGGGCCGACCACAACGGCCCAGGTCATGTCACTGGCCCGTCATTACCGGTCAACTTGCATAGCCCTGTCCCACTGGTCCACAGTCATTAGCCCGGGCTTCTTGGGGAGCCCTTCCCCGCCGGACCGGCTGAATTGGCCCGGGCGATTTTGCACACCCGGGCCGCCCGGGCTCGGGTACAGTGCCCGGGCCATGTGACCGGCCCGTTGACGTCGGGCAACTTGTATAGCCCTGTCCAACCGGGCCAAAGACATTAACCCGTCTTGGCGGGCCCTTCCTAGCCGGGCCGGCCGATTGGCCCGGGAGATTTCGCACACCCGGGTAGCCCGGGGGGTCGATGGGACGGGTTCATCACAACGGCCGGGTGCTGACAGAATTAGCAATAAAAAATGTGAACTGATGGTAAAATTAAAAAAAAATACTATTTCTTAAAATAACTTTACCATTTTGTGACTATTGAAAAAATATATTTGTAGTGCAGTACCCTAGTTTATTTATAATAATCATGTTTATGTATCCTTTGGAATGTTTTTGTATTCCACATCCAACCAATACAGGTATTCATTTTGATATCACTTCGCTTCACCTAGTGAGTCATTACTGTAAAAAATATATAGGTACCTACATTGACTTTTGGTCAAAGGTAGTTAGTTAAATGCTATCTAAACCAATTTAAACAGCCAAGAACTTTATATTCATAGAAACAACTTACTTTCTTGAAAGATATCATACAGGCAACATAAAAAAAAAATGAATTCTTCTTAGTCGTAACTCATCTTTTGGCGTTGCCGCACATGTCTCCCCCGTGATTACACTGACTAGTTTTACAGTGTAATATATTTGTTTTCCATGTTTTTGTGTATATGTTTTCTCAGAGTTAACGACGAATCTAACCGAATCGGTTTAATGACTTCATCGATGTTTTTGTTTTACCTGATGATGGATTTCTGGATGGAAGTCCGAAAACTATGGTTGTAAATACTGAAAAAGGATCACTTGACGAAGCCAGGTAACATAAATTATTTAACTTAAATTTAGTAATCCAGAGGCTACCTCACCAACAAACAAATGCTCCCGAGTTCCCAAAATGAGTCAACAGCACCACAGACGAGACGAGTAATGTTTTAAGTACTGGCTCCAGCTGAAGCGGATTACATACTGTACACTTATTGGCATGTTCACACTGGCACTGTTGCACCACTATTAGCCTATAACAGTGGCGGATCTAGAACAGAAACAAGGGGGGTTTCGAACCGGGGGCTTGGGGGGTTTGGGTTCGAAAAATTGGTACCTATAAACTTAGTCTCCAAAATGGCAGTTTTATACCATTTCTTTGTCCAAAGTTAGTGTGGCAGATTATTTTACACAAAGTGTAATGTGTATGCACTATTGTATTACATGGAGTAAAAAAATATATATATATGTATGCGTAAAGGGGGGGCAGTCGCCCCCTTTGTCACCCCTCTGGATCCGCTACTATGGCCAATAATGTATTATGTACCAAAATTGCAGCAACACCAATGAGCATCTCTTGTGTTGTAGTTTCAGTGACATTGTAAATGTATCTTGGGATGGTATAAACTCTCAAGAAAACAAAATATAGGATGAAAGTATCTTTATTTCATTTTAAAGACTTACAGAGAATACAAAGATGTGAACTTTGATTAACAAATAATTGGCATATTAGAAACGTTAAATGTATTTTAAAATGTAACAGACTTTACACCGTAACAAGTATTATCTCTATTTAGAGACCAATGTTGACAAGACTTTAGCCTTGCTCAATATTAGTCATGGCACACAAGGAAGTTTGTTGGAATATCTAAACATTTCTATTGAAAACATATGTTAACTGTTTTTAAAGATTATTGCACTTATGTAACTAGAAATAAAATGAAAAGACTCAAGGAATAAATACCTATTAACAGTATATATGTACAAAAGAAATAACAGTAGACCTATACAGTTTATTTAATACTGTGACTGTGTATACTGTATAAATGCTTTCTCCAGTACTACGACATCCCTTTGTAAATTTATGAAAAAATTAAATTATATGAATTGCGTTACTACTAAATTAGCTACAATAATTTTTACAAAACTAACGTATAAAAATAAATTACATGAAAATTATATTTACATTTTCTCTCAAACCTAACACACAAAACAGGTTACACAAAATTGGATTTTTTTATGATCTTTTAACAGAGTATGTTGTAATACGTTTTACAATATAGAAGCAGTGGAAAGAAGAAACAATGTTAAATACAACAACATACAGGCCAACTCCCTGCATTTTCTAACATTCAATTCCAAGTAATTTGTAAACAATTAATCATTACCAATATAAATATACCATTTCAAAATGTTTCTTACTGTTTAATTCAAGTGTTAGTATTTAAAATAATAATGATAATTATAAATTTACCTGGGAACTCCTTATAATGCAACCAAAAAGTAAACATTTATCAGGATTTAAATTCCTAGTTAATTACTTTCCATTGGCTCATTTTCAAAATTCTATAACATTTTGCCACACAAACGATTTTAAATACTGTATCACACATCTGCGTAAAAATCCTAAGGTTTAACTCCGCTCATATTTTTTTTACCACTGCAGGGGTAAAAACGTATCATGAGTCATATATACAAAAAAGAAAAAAGGAAACAAGAATGTAGGCTGGAAAAGAAATTACTCTTTGTAATGTCATCAGTAAAAGAAAACAAATGTTTATTTTTAACTAATGAATATAAAAACTATATTAAAAATACAAACTTGCAAGGATTCAAAACCAAGACCCTATTTTCTCCTCTTCAGTAAGACAATTTGATACAACTGAACTCTTCAAAATCTAAAGAAAATTCAGCTGTGTAAACTGATTTAAACTGAATTACGGAACTAACCAAATAGAGTCAAACCATTGGTACAGTTATTAAATAATTAAAACACAAGATACTATTTATCACAAGAATAACCCATTTTCTCAAAAATTAGTTTTGAGTTACATAGCTCATTTGTTTTGCTTGAGTGGAATTAAATAATATCCATGATAAAGGAAGAAAGTTTACGATAGTGCTATAACAAATTATATAAACGACTAGTAGCAGAAAACCTCTAAGATTTACTTTGCGACTGTTTAACCAACTGAATTGTACCCAAACCTTTTACAATTATTTACACTAAAGCCGTGTTTACACAAGGCCAGTAGCCATTTTACCTCAGGCAACCTGTCTGCCTACCTACTGGCCTCACGTAAACGCGGCTTTACAGACATTTAATAAACAGCAGGAAAGAGATAGTCTATAAATAGAGAGCTATTCTACAAGAAGTAAATAAATGCACAGCCATTTACCCCACGCAAGGCAAACTATCACATGTTTTTTAAACATACAAACTGCTACCTTGTTCACAACAAGCTCCTGACACGTTCTAAGTTGTTAGTATCCAACATACAAGTGAAACAACGATAAATACAACAATATATATATACACTTACCCATTTATTAATAACAACATTTGTTCGAGGTTATCACCAAGAATAAATAGACTATGACGAGAGAAAAGTTAATTATTATTGTACCAGAACACTACCTAAAATAGATGTAAAAAATAAATGCATTGATTAAGTACAAGGTTGAAAACAGTCTAAACTCAGTAAGTACAGTGGTTTTAATAATAGATGTTAATTTATTTTAAAATTAACAGTATAGAATAAGCAGGGGAATGGGGAATGGAAAATAATGTATTTTTAATGTTATATTTCATCACTTACGATTTCTAAGTGGTCTTATCGACTTGAAAACAATCAATACTTACGTTTCATTATGGTATCAAAGTAAGAATGACTTGATGGTTTCAAATTATTTCAAAATCAATAGTTTGCAAATTTTAAGTAACTGCTTGTGTTGGGAGTTTAACTAAGTTACTTTTATAATAGAAGATTTAAATTTTGCTACATCTCCTACTGGCTCAAGATTGAGCATCTTAGAAAATTGGCAAAATAAATACATTGTAATTTTTATTAAGTTTTACATTTGTTTGGAAGAGTTTTTTTGGAGGAAAAATCACTTGTCTAAGGAATACAATGAAGAAGGAATGGATACACAACTAACTTACCCAAAAAAATAGTTCCAATCAGATTAAAGCACACAGGAAGTAGACAACACAATTACCGTAACTTGATATCCCGCTGCTATCTACAATAATTCTATAATAATCCGTTCTCCTACTCTCTTTTGAAATAAGTCTCCTTGTAGGTGCGAAATATTGAGTTAGTCGTGTTGTGTTGTGAACTTCCAGTGTGCTTTAAACCAGTGGAACTCTTTTCTTGCGTAATTTACTTGTGTACCACATTCCTTCTACTGTATTTGTTTGGAAGAGCAATTTAAATTACTTCTTTAAAATAATTAAGAGATACTTTTACTAGACTAGGGTGGCCACAAACCTCCCTGAAAAAATTCAGGGCTTTCTCAGTTGTGATTTAGGTCTACATTTTACTTGGGGTCTGCAGGTTTATGATATTTTTGAGGTCAGGTTGAGTCATGCCAAGCCGAAGCAGTTGAGCGCGGACAGAAAAGCAAAGAGAAAAGCAAACACAGAAAGCGTTTGCGAAGATGTGAGATAGAATATTTACAATTTTTCCGCGATCGTGGGAGACACGATGATGTCGCTGTGACGCAGATGTATACAATTTTGTAGTCACCTCATAAGATGTTCACGATTTTACCATGACCACTGAAAACTTTCACAATTTTGCCGTGACCACAGACTAAAATCAGGTTTCCCTTCAAAGATATTACAAAACTCTCACATAATTCCCAGTTTTCCCAGAATTCCCAGTCTGTGGCAACCATGTCTGTCAAATACTCTTTATCCTATTCCTTCCATTGTTACAAACTTCAAAACCTTTCATAAGATAGAATGGAAGAAGCAGTAATCTGGAAAACTACCTTCAAACCATTCCAAACAAACTTTTGATACCATACTTGTTCACAAAGAACAACACTCGATGAACTTCCCAACTAAACCTCGAGTAACAAGTAAACCTGCTTATCAAAACCTAAAACTCATCTACAAATTAACACATCTAAAACATTTTGGATGAAATCAGTTATCACTGATATTCAAAGTTTTACTTTGGCATCTCCTTAAAACTTGAAACTCTGGGGATGAGATAAAATCGCTTACGCTAAGAAATGTCGTTGCTGTCGTGGAAAAATAGATCACGTTATCAGCGTGTCCACAGATTTAGCGTTCTTGGTCTTTTCTGATCGTTTCTGGTCCTGTACAGAGTTCTTTTTCCTTCTGCTCTTGCGCCACCAGCACACAACGATGACAAAGGCAGCCACTAGAGCCCCTATCAACACACCTATCAGCAAATAACGAGTGGTTGATGCCGGGGTGGCCACCAGGCAAGTCTTGAATATCTTCATCTCCTCTGTCATATCCACATTGCAAGCCGCAGCGTCTGGGTCGTCTGAAAAATGTGAAACTGTTAACTAAGAATCATTCAAGCTGGTACAGATTGGTACAGTCAAGTGTGAATCTTTTTTTATCATATCAAATCACAAGAGAGTGGGATGATAAGGACACAAAACTGTATTGCAGAATGGTCTTAACAAAACTTAAACTCAAGAAAGCTGTATTTAAAGTACAGAAACCACCAGAGTTTAAATTACTAAATGACTGATCTTAGGCGGGTTTTTATTACTGTGACGAGCAACATGGAACTAAGTCCACCCAACCACTGACATTTCATACCTCAACCCCTCCCTGAGGACTATTTGCGAGGGCAAACCTCGTACTGTTTTCTCCTTCTAGTAATGACCAAAACAGTGCGTGTTTCTGTCATTTCCACCAAAGTGCGGCCCTGGAGAGTTAATAGGTGACTTGTGTTTTTCCTGAGATAATCATAAGCAATCCCCTACTGACTGGAACATTTACGACTACATCACTGTCTAAATGATAGTCTCACCGAGAGCCGTGCAGTTGAAGCCAGGCAGAGCGATGTACCGCTGAGAGGTCCAGGTAAGCAAGCGGTGACATTGGCACTGAGTGGTGACGCCTGGCAGGTGGTACAAGGTAGGCGGCAAGTACAGCTTCTCCAGGCGGCACAGTGGCGCTAGGTCTGCAGGCGTCACTGACTCCAATGGGTTACTGGTCAGGTTCAACTCCTATAGGTCAAGGAAATGCAATAAAATCATATTCAAACTCAGATAAAACTCTATACATTGAATGGCTATCTTTGAAGTAAAATTAAACCATTATTTTGTGTTTAACCAAAGTGGCTTTTTATGTTTTTGAAAGAAAACAGTCCAGACCCTTTTTGTTACTAGGTTTAACATACACGTTTTGATGTTTAGCATCATTAATTGACAGCCCAATAACGAGTGGCGTCTGTGTCCAGAATTGATCTTGTTTGGAATCAAAATCAGCATCCTTCAGATTTAAAGGCTAATCTTAAATTTGCTGGTTCAATTCCAGACTCACCCATTCGTCATCCGGCTATCAAAAAATTATAACAGATGGTTATCGTTAGATTGTAAGACCAGACTTTGGACAGTTTCCTTACTACACTTGGAAATCATAACACTCATTGAATAGCATAACACACAAAACAAAATACAATTTTTGCATAAAACATTGAATAACAGAATCAATTCTATACAAAGTTGAATATGTACTAACCTTGAGGTTGGGCAGGGTCCCGAGGGAAGGGAAATGACGCAGTTCACAGCCGGCCATGTTGAGGTACGCCAGGTTGAAGGCAGCCGTCAGAGATATGTTCTGCAGCACGATGTTGTCTGCCAGGTAAAGCTTGCGTAACGGCAGCGGTAGGTCTGTGGGGAGAGTGTGGACTGCGTTCAGACTCAAGTCTAGCACCTGCGGATCACTGTCATTAGTATACAGTCTTGACGGTTACAGACAATAAACACTTAACTATAATGGGGGATCACAGCACATAGTTTAGGACACTAGGTGTGACAAAAATGTGCTCAACTGTTTTCAGTAAATTAGCAAAATATGTCAGGGTATTTTGGGGGAGAAAGTAGTTGAAAAATTCACACACAAACTCTAACTGGGAAATTAGAGAAAACGTAAAATAGTGAAAAATAAAAGTAAAGAGCCTATAAAAAGCATTTTCAGTTCATTTAGGAGTTACCTCAATTTAGAGGTCTGTGCATGAATGAAATGTACCAAGCACAGCAGAGGATAAGCTTGTAAGGCCGGGGCCACACTTGTAATTTTCAACCAGCGAGACTGTTTTTTCCGTTTTCACGTGCGACGCACGTGAAACAGATTGCACGTGGCCACACTCGTCTTACGAGATAGGTTTTTCGGGCAAACCAGCGAGACTGATAGAGCATGCCACACTGGCAATAAAAATCGTCCGTGTCCGTGATACGCACTCCCCCCCTTCCACGCTCTCTTTACAGGTTAAAACTAGAAACGTCCGTGGAAAAAGTTCAGCGAGATAAGATGAGTGTGTTCACTCCCATAAGCCGCAATGCCCCGCGACTAGTTTTACGTGCAACGCCCGTGGAGTGTTAGTAGAGAATACACGTGCAATTCCGTTTGTCAGTCTCGCTGGTAAAACCAGTGAGACTGACAAACGCGTTCACGGACGTTTTTAGTCTAGTGTGGCCTGCCCCATATACCGTAATGTATCTCTCAAACCCACGGGTAACGCCCGTGGAAAATATTCAGCGAGATAAGATGAGTGTGGCCCCGGCCTAAGGAATAATCTTAATAAGCTTGTACTGCTAAACTTTAGGTAACATGACTGGAGTTGTGTCTTGGTTACCAAATCCATTGGGCTACCAACTCATTCAATAGATCAAAAGCCGTACACCAAGATTGATGATTTTGTCAAATGTTTGTTAGCTGCAATATGGAGTTTATAGGAGGAAAAAAATGTTCTTAAACAATTTAAATCTCAAACTCTTTACCTCAAGGTCTGTAAGTTCACTGAAGGCTCCAGGTTCAATCTTGGTGATGAGGTTGTCCCCGAGGTAGAGAAGTTTCAGAGATGTATAATCCCGCAGACTGGAGTTGGTAATCTTGCGTATCCGATTCTTTGCTGCGTACAAAATCTGGAAAGTGTAAGAATATGTAAGCAATGATTCTTTGAAACTAAAATAATTTTAAAATGTTACAGCTTTGGGAGGCAACGGGGGGGGGGGGGGGGGGGTACGCGGAATCGGCTAACTTTGGAACTTGCTAACCCCATGTTAAACGCCCTATCTTCAAATTTGGTCGATGAGAGGAACTCACTATTGTTCGGTTTCGGAATTGGCTAACTTCGGAACCCGCTAACCCGATCTAGAGCCGGGTTAGCGAATTCCGTCCTCGTACGGAAGTCGCCAACTCGGACCCTCGGCGGAACTCGCTAACTCCCAATCAGAAGCCTCGCGGGCCGTCCAGTGGGAGCCAAGAACAAAGATTTTTAGCCAGTGTTGCCGAAAGTGTAGTACCTATATCGGTACCATAATGTTGTATCCTACGAATAATTAGGATTAAGAGCAACGTAGTCGATAAAATAAATATATTCAGAAGTATGTTTAATATTATTCTTATGATTATTAGGGTAGAAAATGCATTATAGTCTTACCAAAGACTAACCAACACAAGTAAACTTTACATCTCATTGTAAACTTTGAAGCTCGTTGTTTGTGTCTAGTTCATGTCCGGTGACACTGATCGCTAGTGTCGACGAAATTGTTTTTCTATTATTTTATAGTTACTTTATGATTTGTTCTTAAATGTTTGGTTATATATATAACTAGGGGACGTGTTATTAGTTGTGATTAGAACGTTTTATTTGGTTAAACAAGGTTTTAAATGACTGAAAACAATAAACAATTGCAAACAAAACACGGCCTCTAAAGACAGTGCACCGGGCAGATCTAACAATAAGACTGTCTTCAGCTGATCCATAAGGATGAGAAATGTACTACAGTAATATAAGGGGGTATGTTTTATATGTGGGTTTCTTACTTAAAATAGTTGCACATTGGGATGCAAAAAGATAATACTGTATATTTATTTTGTATCTTTTACATGTTATGAAATATCTATTTTCGTAGTCCGCCATTTGTTTCTTTTATTAAAATATATACCATTTTGTGAACTTCTGCAAATAAAATTATTAAGTTCGTAATTTATATACTGGGCTTGTTACCTTGAATCATAAAATTGAATCATAAATCATGATAAAATTTACACGTTAAACGTCGTTACAGAAATACATTGTAGTGGTAATGTATTTTTAAAAAGAGCTATTGAATTTTAATAAATTTTGATCAATACATTATGATTATAAATAGTTATTTGTGCAACTAGTGAGAAAAGTGAGCAATTGACTCACTCAAGAGAAATCCTTACTCGCGAGCCGTAGGCGAGTGAGGAATGGTTTCTCGAGTGAGGCAATCCCACAGTGAGGCATCCGCTTGAGAAACGTTATTAAAAAGTATTTCAATGCTATTTCGAATTAAAATAACTAATAACGTTACTAATGATTTATAAAAATTAATCATGTTTTCCGATCATATCCTTAGGACATCCTTTGGAGATCCGTAGGATATCCCCGTGGGGCATAGTAACTATCAAACTCTACATTTTTACCATTTTATAATAATAACAACAATAATACACCTGCTTACAATAATAATAATAATGCAAATATTTTCTTTTTAATTTAAATTAAAACTTATTTAAGAAAATTTATTGGTTGAAAATTTAAGGGGAAATATTAATTAATCATGTAACAATTATAATCTATATTCTTAATACAGTATCCTCTACAACTCCCAGAAAAACAATTTAACTACTTGATGCCTAAACAGAATCATAGTATCAAAAATATTTAAGTATTGCGACCATTTCAGCTGTCGGCTCCTCTTTAACCGCTTGAAAACTAGTAATATCAACAATCACAAATAGCTCAGGAGGTAAGGTAAGAGTTTCATAAGTCAGAGGTACCCGGTTCAAAACTCGTCTGGGCAAAAATATTTTTGTTTCTATTTTTTCCAAAAATTTGTTTTTATGAGCTATTTAATTAAAATACTTAAGTGGTAAAAGTGCTTTTTGGACGAAATATTTATTATTTAGTGTTTTTGTGTATAATATCCTGGTGGGATATCCCAGGGATCAGGATTTGGGCGGACATAGGGAGTTCCCAGGGAGTTCCCCAGGATATCCCGAGGACATTGCGGGATATACAGAGGATATCCCCCATATCCCACTGGGATATCCCCAGGACATTCCAAGGATATTCTTGTGTTGTGTGGGATAGTACTTTGAACTCGAGTTGCACATTATACTTTTGCTACAGTTACCATAAAACAAATAAATTTGTGAAGAAACATAACCTATTTTTACACAGAAGTGAACTTTTAATATAACATTTAATGTGAAGTGACAAATACAACAGTACAACAGCTGACCAGCTGATTTACAGCCAGTGCTGCCAACGTATTTAGCGCGCATACGACATTGCCTGCATGTTACGCACTCACTATTTCGCGCCTTCACGTTGCAAATCTGGAGTGAGACAAAGTAATTAGAGTGAGACAATGTTAACATTGTCTCACTGATGAGCGAATTGGCCACTTTGCTTTCTCAAATGAGTGAGAGAACATGTACATTGTTAGGTAACTGTAGGAAAAGTGGTAGGCCTAATGTATTCATGGATTGCATTACAAATTTGTCTATGCATAAATGCAACTTGTAAATTTCTGTTATCGAATTAGGCTATTAGTTAGAACTCTGGTCATCCTCTTAATTTTGTTTAATTAATATTAATTGTACGTCTTTCATTAGGCCTACTATTTAAAAGTCTTGAGATTTTATGGTTCTAAATGGACCCAGTCGTTCTTGTTTGTTATCATTTTTATGAATGGTGGCCATAGCTAAAATTACCTGATCTTATCCAAAAACAAAGCTATTGTCTATTGAGTAGCTCAGTACCGGGGAACGGGGAATTGAGCAATGGCTTGGTATAGTTTATTTCGGTTGTGAAAGCAATATAAAGGAAACCCAACACTCAAATCAGGAAAATCCGTCAAGTCGTTGATTAAGAATCGTGAATTAAAATAAACCTGTCACGATTTATTATATGAATATTATATCTTCTCCTATTATTTACTAGTGATGCTTAGGTGTACAATCTAAAAACTGTTTTAAAACATGTAACATTATTACTAAAAAATTCAACACATTTTAGAATTAGGCAACTATTTACTAGCAGGCCTACAATGCTTTGGTTTAAACTAGGAATAGATTTCTAAAGGCCTCTACAGCTATTCTATAAATTGATATGAAACTTAGTCCATGTCATATTTGTACGCGTTGGACGATTCAACGACGAACATATAATTTTAAATCTATGAATTAGTTATGAAAGTTACGATGGTTGATGACTGTATTAATCAATACTTTTGGTTTATTACGACATTACGATTAAATTTGTTTTTCGTGTTTGAGAACTTGCGTGTATTTTAGCTTAATTTCGTAGAGGTTTAATTATTTAGTACCTATTAAACTGAATTTTCAATATTTTTCATATTCCATTATTTTTTTTATACTGATGGCATTTATATTTAAGATCGAAATCATAAACATTTAATTAATTGGCCATTGTACAGTTAAATAAAAAAAACACTTTTAGATGTTTTTTTATTGTCTTTGAATTACTTTGGGCTAGTTATCTGTTAAAAGTAGAATTGATAACAAATAACAATAACATTTACTTTACTGTATCTTCATTGACACTGACATTTTGAAATACGGCAGTGTACGATTATTTCGTAGTACAAGGTTGGCAACGCTCCGTGCAGTGGGCGCGGCCGGGTTAGCGACTTCCAGAGTTAGCAAATTCCGCCGCGAGAGAAAATCGAGTTAGCGGGTTCCGGAGTTAGCCAATTCCTGACTGAGACGGTTAGCCAGTTACAGAGTTAGCCAGTTCCGACACACGACCGAGTAAGCGAGTTCCTGAGTTAGCCAATTCCTACGTCTCCAACGGGGCAAAAAAAGATCAGCCTGGAAATCAGAAGTTAGAAGGGGAAGTGGCTGGACCACACTTTTCGGAAGTCGGATGAGGCAATTGAAAAGAAGGCCTCTGAACGGAATCCCCAAGGGACAAGAAAGCGGGGAAGACCCTGTGACACCTGGAGAAGAAGGCGAGGGAAGCCTTGAGTGTCGGAAAGACCTGGAGTCAGCTGAGGGATCTGGCGCAGGAAGGAGCGACAGGAAATAAGTCAAGTAAGTCAACTAACATAATCCTATAGTCTGATCCAATGATGAGCGATCACAAAATTTCTTTCTCTACATATTGAGATGAAAATTCACATGGTTATGTGGAAAGCTGAGACGATGTAGTGTTCACCTAACAATCAAAAGGGGTTGATTGGATCCTGAAAAAAATCAACAGATTTTTTATGGTTTAAAACTGGACTTAGCTGTCCCACAGAGGAAACATTCAATGGTAGACTTAAGTGGTGTACAGCTCTAGTACTGGTGTCTAGGGCAATGACCTTCCTCCGAACCTCTCGCCATCACGTACTACAACGCTCATCGTGGAGGAAACCCTGTGACCTGTTATAGGAATTTTCCACACAGTTCAGGCTCTTCCCAAGTATATTTCCGCCCCAACATACTGAACAACAGCTGAAAGCGCACAGTTGTCCCATAAGCTTACTTCTCCTACCTTACTTCTCTGTAGCTGTCCCTGATCATTGGGCTTATAAATAGTTCTGGCTCAAGAACCAGCAGATCTTAGCTGGTATCAAACATGTCATCTCATTAAAAACTCATCCTTCCTCTATATTTGCTTTAAAATATGCACCCTAGTGTGTTGGCAATTTAATATAATTTAATCTCCAACATTTCTTGCATATTTTAGAAATTTTATGATACAGTAGTTTAAAAACAATCAAATATTAAAGTTGTCTAATTTATTTTCATAACAGCAATTATATACATACAAAGAAGTGTTGGAGTAAATCAAACGTTATTTACCTCAATGTCTTTATTCAGGTTCTGAGGTATTTCCTCAAAGTTCTGGTTGAAGCAGTTTGCTCCCAGCATCTTGAACTCCCGAGTGTAGGTACATTTGCCGTCCCCGACCACTGCCACTGGGCCTTGCAGTGCTATCACTGCTGCCAACAATACACCTGCAAACAGAAAATACCCTGTCAATTACAGAGTGTAAGTTATGTATAGGCAATTAATTTGGGATGTTGAAGTAGACATAACTCTACAAACACCTGCTTTTGCTAATTTTTTATCCATTTAGAATATAGTTTGAATGACCCACTTTTAGAGTGTGCTAATGAAAAATGATATTTTCCCCTTAATTTTGATGTGTTTTATTGTAAGTTGTACAACTGTCAGTTAGGCTTGGTTAGAGTTAGTAGGTAGTGTAAGTGACAGAGATGTGTATTTGCCATTATCACACTCTGCCGGGGTCTCAATTCTTTGTACATTTTATTTCTAAAACTGGTAGCAACTTAAATAAAGGGATGGAAAATGTAGTTCTACCAACAGTCAAAGACAGAATCAACTGGTAAAGCATAGTGTTAAGGATTTAAAAATAGGTACTCACTTATTTTAAAGTGAAGTATAAGAAAAATTGACATATCATATTGTCAAGAACATGTTTAGATTGAAAACCTAATTGGTAATCGCTAATCGGCAAGTAATTGAATTGATAGAAACCCACAACATTAATACAATCAAATAAACATAACCAAACAACAAATAACACGACCCGATAAACATGTAAAACAAACATGTTTTATTTGTTGAATTGTTTGAAATGTTGCTTTTTGACAGTTTGGTTTAATTGGTTATCAGCTGATTTATTAAAGAAACTTCACTGCATTATGGGATCTTTGAAGGATAAGGCAAAATTAATTATAAGGTTGGATTAGACTGCACACTGCACCTTAAAAATACGAGTCAAAAATTATTTGTTTACTTGATGGCATTTTAAAAATAGCTGGGAAATTCTATTGAACAAATTGTAATAAACCTGACTGATGAACAATTTGGTATTGTGGATTCTTTAGAAGGTAGATACCAAACACTTACAGTAACAGTTACGAAAATACATAATACATCTACAAAAAGTAGTCAATTCTTTAAAAAATAAAGTAGATAAATATCATATTTGATTGAAATTAACAATATTAATATACAGAAATAAGTAAAATTTTATTTAAAATATTTATCAGGTTGCAGGGTTGCAGTCAGGCTAGGATTATACTAGGACGCTAGCGTCCGAGAGGCTGGCGTCCGGGACGCTAGCGTCCCACTTCGAGCCGATAAATTACGTGATTTGTGTTGGGACGCTAGCCTCTCGGACTGCCATTTTATTTCAATGTTTAGTCACTTTTTGTAACATTAAATAGCATTAGGTTTAAGGGGGCAATGTACCCAAAAATACTTTTTCTTTATAAGTGGCCTAAAAAATTTTATTTATTGATTAAAATGTATCCTAGTGTAAAAATAAAAAGAAAATATGGTATGAGCCCCCCCCCCCTTTCTCTTTCGGGCGAAGGGGGGGGGATAAAATAACATACGTTTACGTTTTACAGCATAACTCCTTTTGTATAGCACGTATTCCAATTTTTTAAACTTTGTTTCAAAGCTAATAAATAGCCTTACAAACTGTAGCATGGCTTTTGATATGCTTTTAAAAATAGATATGGGACATTTTATTTTAACTTTTTGACGAAATTCCCTTTATTAAAAAAAATATATATATGTAAGGAATATGGTTAACAATATGTAAATTTCCATGCTACTGTTTGTGCACAATATATTAAAGAACATATGTACAAAATTTGACTTCTCTAGCTAAAAAAATAAAAAAGTTATGCTGTAAAACGTGAAGGAAAACACTAAAAAAGAAATATGCGGGAAATAACAAAAACACTTTGCTTCCAATAGGCGCCTGAAGCAGAAAAACCAGCTGCGGATGCTTATGATATTTAGTCTAAAAAACTATTTTCAATATTAAAAATACAAAAATAATGCTTGAAACTAGTTCTTAAATAGTTAAAGAAAAAAAATTAAAAAAAAAATTTCTAATGAAGTTTTTTGGTTACATTGCTTCCAAAATAGGCGCCTAAAGCAGAAAAGCCAGCTGTGCGCGCTTATGAAATTTAATCCAAAAAACACATTTTGAATATTAAAAAACCAAAACCAATGCTTGATTCTTGTTCCTAAATTATTTAAGAAACAAAAAAATAAATAAAATACTTTTTTTTTATTCAAATTTTTGGGTAAATTGCCCCCTTAACGAGTACCAAGGTTTTATGCTTTAAGGGGGCTAATAAAGAGTGTTTTTTAGTAAAATACTGTATTATTAGCTTAGTATAAAACAAATTGGCCAAGTTTAATCGAAATATATCCATACACAAGCAAATTCCAACACTTAACAACATTTTCTATAAGAATAACATGGCAATTTTAATATACTCTTTTTTTAATTTTCTCCATAACTAATAACAGTACAAAAACACTTAAATATAGGTACTAAATTATTTGTTTTTAAGCTCATTAAAATTATCTAGAGAGAAATTGTGAATTTTTTAGTTTTATGGGTCAAAAATGACAAACCCCCCTTTTTAGAACATAAACCCCGTTTCCAAGGTATGTTCATGCTGGTTCGCGAACTCATTCAAATTTATCCCACCCTTCACCTTAAAACCAATTTTTTTCAAAATAGAACAAAAGTTACTCCAGTTATCGCGTTTACAGACATATATATATATAATATTCAAATCTATACGAACGGATGGTGTTTTTGGCCTCTGGCGACATCAAAATGAAAAAGTAAATCGGTCCCGGGCCTACGTTTTACCATGCCACCTACGGTAATCATTTCGAGCTTTCGGTGGCTTTTTTTAGCATCCGACGCTAGCATCCATAGTATAATCGCCCCCATTTGATTTAATGCCCCGCTAGCGTCCCGGACGCTGGCCTCTCGGACGCCAGCGTCCTAGTATAATCCTAGCCTTATGTGGTGCTCTCAAATTTCATAAAGAAGTAATTGTGCAAAAGCGCCTGCAATACAGTCACTGCTGCTTGCATTACACTAATGTGCGTGAACTGTCTAACCTCTCATTCAGGCGTCGTTGTTCTGAGCAAAATGCCAAGAACTAGTGCTTCCTGTTTCAAAAGTAAATCGGCGTTAATTTATTTCCAGAAATTGTTGTATTTGGAAAGATAATAACTCAAATTAAATGTCATGATTTGATTATCAATAAAAAATATTTCTTGTATTCGTTTTAAAAAGTGCATAGGACTAATTGCTTAAGACTAGTGCTTAATATTTATCTCTGGAAAACCAAGATAAATACATATTTCATACAATAATTAACCTAGTAGTATTTAATGTATTGAAAACATGGAGATTCACCAAAGAGGTAAAGTTGAGTGTGGTTGAAAAGTCTTAGGATCAACTTTAGTCTAGATTAGAAAGGGTGGAGAATTAAAATAAACCAGCATTTTTTTCTCGCACAGACTGAGTTATTGTGGCAGTTGGCAGTGGATGTAAGCTGTAGATAAATGTGAACAAAACATGTGACATGAGATAAGATCGTTCAATAATAGAGAGTGTATCCTTGGGAAACCCATAAGAAGAAAACAGCTTGCGAGAATAAGGTGGACGAGATAAGTGTTTCAATAGTTTGGGCCGAAGAATGGTCCTCGAACCTTAATCGGATTACTATTTAATAATATTAATATTCCAATGACGTATACAATGAGGCAAAGTAAGGTTAATGTTTTCATTGGCATCAACCAGTCCCCCCTCTCCCCGTCAGGTGGTATTGCACCAGACGACATAGACATACCGTGGAAGGCAGAACGTGGTGAGGGCCTGAAACCGGTTTGTTTGGAGGCGGCTCTGTTCAAAATGATTTGTGATTACTCCGGACAATGTAGGGACTATCGTTCGTATAAAAATATCTACCCTATAACAGAAAAGAAGGGAACTATATACTCTGTAAAATAAATACATTCCCTTAAATAAGACGTACAAACGTAATATATTAAGGCTACAAAATTAGTCGTGTATTCAGTTCATCGATGGATTTTATGAGTTCCTAAAAAGTGCACAGATGACTTTGCACAGATGACTTTAAATAGAGTTTGTCTCATGAGCTTACTAGCAGGGCTCCTGTACCCTTTTTTTAAAGTTCCTGATATTTCTGAATCACGTGGTTTATCTTGTAAGAATCTTAAAAGTGAAAGTAAAATCATTGCTATAGTAGATTCTTATAGATAACTTAGATATTCAGTGTGTTTTCATAATGCTACTTGATCGAATGCTGTTAGCCAAACCCTAGAGAGAGTACTGACCAATCCCTAGGGAGAGGGAGGGCCATGAGACAAGATCTATCATACAGAGTCTAAGACTGACTTCACATTTTAAATCACGATTAGATGTCTACTTGCACTATTCCACAAACAGAGGTGTATACTTTCCCAGCTGTGACTATAGCCTGTATGACGGAACCAGTCTTCTGACGCTTCGTCTACCTTGGGACCTGCCGATGGTTTGGCCCGGGACAGTCCCAGGTAGACGATCAGAAGACAGGTTCCGTCATACAGGCTATATGCAAAGTTAATAGTCATAACTATATACAAATGGTAAACATAGACATTAAGTCATCCATAAGTTTTATAGAGATGAGTTATAGGTATGGAACAAACTTTAACCGTTCATCGCTAAAATGATTCCATTTGTGGAGCGGTCATCTACACGTCCACAGATGCATGGCAGCTCAACACTTTGCAGTGTTAGTGTTAACAATGGTGTTATCTCGGTCGGTTTGTTTGGACCAACGGTTTTAGCCGTATCGTGCATCGCATCTTGTTTGTTTGTGTTGGTTGTTTACCTGTTTCTCTGACCAGTAGAAGCAGTGGAGAGCAAACATTCCTGTATCATATTGAGTCTAGCAATAACCGACCTGATGGACGACATGTCGAGAAGGAAGATTTTAAATGTTTTACAGTGGATAGAACCTTTTACTCCATACATCTTGGATAGAACTGTGCATTCCATTCCAAAGTTGCTTGTAGGTAGTCAGTTTTCGAATAAAACGTTCATTTAATTTAGCTACTGACAGAATGTGCTAATAAGCTAATTTCAATAAATTGC